TCGCGATTTTTCAATTTTTCGTTTCTTGTTTTTGTTTTGGTTCTATAATTTTTTTTAGCGTTTTTGAATTTTCGATTTTTTTTATTTTTCCACTTCTCGGCTTTTCGACGTTTACATTTTTTGACATTTTGATTTTCCCATTTCCCGATTTTTTGATTTTTCAGGTTTTTGATTTCCAGTTTTTCGATTTTTCAATTTTCAATTTTTCGATATTTGAATTTTGGGATTTTTCAATTTTAAGATTATTAAATTTTTTGATATTTTAATTTTTCGATTTCTTAAATTTAAAATTGTTCAACTTTGGGCTATTTACATTTTTCATTTTTTTCATTCATCTTTCGATATTTCGATTTCTCTATGTACTAATTTTCCAAATGATGCATCAATTTTTGGATTTCCCGGTTTTTTGATTTTTCGACCTTCGGCTTTTAAATTTTTCGATTTTTTTCAATTCCAATTTTTTTGATCTTTCATTTCTTCTATTTTTCGATTTGCAATTTTTCATTTTGGTTTTTTGTTTTCTTTATTTTTTCAATGTTTCGGTTTTTCAGTGTTCTGATTTTATAATTTTTCATTTTTCATTGTGAGAATTTTCAATTATCTAGATTTGCAATTTTGAGTTTTCAATTTTTCAATTTTTCAACTTTTAGATTTTCGTTTTTTCAATTTTAGATTTTTCAGTTTCCCGATTTTTCAATTTTTCGTTTCTTGTTTTTGTGTGTTTTGATTCTGTAATTATTTTGGCGTTTTTGAATTTTCGATTTTTTGATTTTTCCACTTCTCACCTTGTCGACGTTACATTTTTTGACATTTTGATTTTCCCATTTCTCGATTTTTTGATTTTCAGTTTTTCGATTTTTCGATTACTTAGTTTTTCAGTTTTTTGAGATCTCAGTTTTTCGAAGATTCAGTGACGTGATCTTTCAATTTTTCGATATTTGACTTTTGGGACTTTTCAATTTTACAATTATAAAATTTTTTGATATTTTAATTTTTCGATTTCTTAAATTTAAAATTGTTCAACTTTGGGCTATTTACATTTTTCGTTTTTTCAATTTTTCAACTTCTCGACTTTTCGATTTCTCGATCTTTCGATATTTCGATTTCTCTATGTAATGATTTTTCAAATGATGCATCAATTTTTGCATTTCCCGGTTTTTTTAATTTTTCAGCTCTTCGGCTTTCAGATTTTTCGATTTTTTTTCAATTCCAATTTTTTTAATCTTTCATTTCTTTAATTTTTCGATTTGCAATTTTTCGTTTTGGTTTTTTGTTTTTTTATTTTTTCAATGTTTCGGTTTTTCAATGTTCTGATTGTATAATTTATCATTTTTCATTATGAGAATTTTCAATTTCCTCGATTTGCAATTTTTCAGTTTTCAATTTTTCAACTAGATTTTCGTTTTTTCAATTTTTGATTTTTCAGTTTTTCGTTTCTTGTTTTTGTGTTTTGGTTCTATAATTTGTTTTGGCGTTTTTGAATTTTCGATTTTTTGATTTTTCCACTTCTCGGCTTTTCGACGTTTACATTTTTTGACATTTTGATTCTCCCATTTCTCGATTTTTTGATTTTTCAGGTTTTTGATTTCCAGTTTTTCGATTTTTCGATTTCTCAATTTTTCGAAGATTCAGTTACGTGATCTTTCAATTTTTCGATGTTTGAATTTTGGGATTTTTCAATTTTACGATTTTTAAATTTTTTGATAATTTAATTTTTCGATTTCTTAAATTTAAAATTGTTGAACTTTGGGCTATTTACATTTTTCGTTTTTTCAATTTTTCAACTTCTCGACTTTTCGATTTCTCGATCTTTCGATATTTCGATTTTTCTATGTACTAATTTTCCAAATCATGCATAAATTTTTGGATTTCCCGGTTTTTTGATTTTTCGACTCTTCGGCTTTTAGGTTTTTCGATTTTTTTTCGATTCCAATTATTTTAATCTATCATTTCTTCAATTTCCTCGATTTGCAATTTTCCACTTTTCAATTTTTCAACTTTTAAATTTTCGTTTTTTCAGTTTCACGAATTTTCAATTTTTCGTTTCTTGTTTTTGTGTTTTGATTCTATAATTTTTTTGGCGTTTTTGAATTTTCGATTTTTTGATTTTTGCACGTCTCGGCTTTTCGACGTTTATATTTTTTGACATTTTGATTTTCCCATTTCTCGATTTTTTGATTTTTCAGGTTTTTGATTACAAGTTTTTCGATTTTTCGATTTCTCAATTTTTCGAAGATTCAGTTACGTGATCTTTAAATTTTTCGATATTTGAATTTTGGGATTTTTCAATTTTACGATTATTAAATTTCTTGATATTTTAATTTTTCGATTTCTTAAATTTAAAATTGTTCAACTTTGGGCTATTTACATTTTTGGTTTTTTCAATTTTTCAACTTCTCGACTTTTCGATTTTTCGATCATTCGATATTTCGATTTCTCTATATACTAATTTTCCAAATGATCAATTTTTGGATTTCCCGGTTTTTTGATTTTTCGACTCTTCGGCTTCTAGATTTTTCGATTTTTTTTCAATTCCAATTTTTTTAATCTTTCATTTCTTTAATTTTCCGATTTGCAATTTTTCGTTTTGGTTTTTTGTTTTCTGTATTTTTTCAATTTTTCGGTTTTTCAATGTTCTAATTTTTAATTTTTCATTTATCACTGTAAAATTTTTCAGTTCCTCGATTTGATATTTTTCGGTTTTCAATTTTTCCACTTTTAGATGTTTTAACTTTTGGTTTTTTTGATTTTTTAGTTTTTCCATTTCTCGGCTTTTCGACGTTTACATTTTTTGACATTTTGATTTTCCCATTTCTCGATTTTTTGATTTTTCAGTTTTTTGATTTTCATATTCTCGATTTTTCGATTTCTCAATTTTTTAGTTCTTCGAAGATTCAGTTACGTGATCTTTCAATTTTTCGATATTAGAATTTTGGGATTTTTCAATTTTACGATTATTAAATTTTTTGATATTTTAATTTTTCATTTTCTTAAATTTAAAATTGTTCAATTTTGGGCTATTTACATTTTTCGTTTTTAAAATTTTTCAACGTCTCGACTTTTCGATTTCTCGATATTTTCCAGAATTTTTGGATTTGTCAGTTTTTTGATTTTTCAACTCTTCGGGTTTTAGATTTTTCGATTTTTTTCAATTCCAATTTTTTTAATCTTTCATTTCTTTAATTTTTCGATTTGCAATTTTTCGTTTTGGTTTTTTGTTTTCTGTATTTTTTCAATGTTTCGGTTTTTCAATGTTATAATTTTATAATTTTTTCTTCGATTATCCAAATTTCTCGATTTTTCGATTTTTCAGTTTTTCAGAGTTTCCGATGCTTCAGTTTTGGGATCTTCTAGTTTTTCGATTCTTCAATTTTTCTTCGATTATCCAAATTTTCGAGCGTTCTATTTATCCATTTATCAATTTTTCGATTCTTCATTTGATATTGTAATTTTTCATTTTTTCGATTTCTCAATTTTTCAGTTTTTCGATTATTCAGTTACGTGATCTTTCAATTTTTCGATATTTGAGTTTTTGGGATTTTTTGGTTTTACGATCATTAAATTTTTTGAAATTTCAATTTTTCGATTTCTTAAATTTAAAATTTTTCGATTCTTCATTTTATATTTTTTTCGACTCTTCAGCTTTTAGAATTTTTCGATTTTTCTTTCAATTCCAATTTTTTTAGTCTTTCATTTCTTCAATTTTTCGTTTTGGTTTTTTGTTTTTTTTAGTTTTTCAATGTTTCTGCCTTTCAATGTTCTGATTTTATAATTTTTCAATTTTTATTGTGAAAATTTTCAGTTCTTCGATATGCAATTTTTCGGTTTTTAATTTTAGAATTTTCAGTTTCACGATTTTTCAGTTTTTCGTTTCTTTAATTTTTGATTTGCAATTTTTCTAGGATCTGCCAAAAAAAACTGATTTTGGAAATGAACAATATTAGAGTAGTCATTGGAATGAAGAGGGGGTAGTGGGAGGGGCTATTGCTTGCTTGTGAACGACTGCAGGAAAAAGTTAAACTTAACCACGCCCACCCACCCATCCTCTCATCAGCCTCCGTTCTATTAGTTCCCATTTCCACTCTCCAAAAGAAAATATAATTAACCCCGCCCACCCACCCGTCTCTATTTTAGTGATCCATTTTATCCAGTCAGAATGAAAGGAGAATGTTATACGGAACAGCAATAAATTCGTTAGAATGAGAACAGGGAGGGTGGGCGGGGTTAGTACCTATCAGGGTAAGACCGATTTTAGTAAATGACGTATCCTGTAAAAAAATAAAGGGCGGGTGGGCGGCTCTAGTACAAGCTAAGATAGGACTAATTTTGGCAGATGACATACTCTCTAAGGAAATAGAGGGCGGGTGGGCGGGACTAGAACTTGATAAGGTAGAACTGAATCTTGTTTCTAATCTTTAGCCTTGAAATATTCTGAGGTTTTTCGATTTTGTTCATCAGAATTTGAAATCATTTATCAATTCACGTTTCAAGTTCATTAGTTCATTATTAAACTGTAAGAATTGATTCGTCGGGGATTCCTTTACTACAACAAAAGTTATTCTTCATTTATAGCCAATTGTACGCTTTTAATTATTTATTAACAATTTGAAACTCAATTAAACTAATAATAATACGCTTCAAAAAAAAATTAATAATCCTAGAGCCACTCATTATGGCACATCCAATCAAGCCCCCAACAATCCCAACAAAGCCCACCCAAACCAAACAACCCCCGCCCCCCACAAAAACAATCGCGAAATTCCTCCCCCATCGATCCACTCGTACTTGAACTTTCGTCAAAACCCGATTAATAAATCAAAATTCTCTTTCGCAGCCGTCAAGCACCTGACAGCGCCCTTTGTCCAACTTCTTAAACGTTATTACCCGTGAAACCCTTTTATGCTCTTATTTAAATATTATTGAACTGCTGTTACCATTAGCAACCCGTAAGCACGGGCCGCCGCGGCCACACGCTCGCCAGAGCGGGCTAAGACGTCGCGACGCGCGGTCACGATGACTCCGGAAACGACGCCGAGCAGTTCCGGGAGTGACAACTCGAAGCGGCCGCTGAAGAGCGGCGAAGAGCGGCTGATGGTGGCGGTGAGGATTAGGCCGCTGCGGAACGACGAGCCGCAACGAGTGCTGTACGCCCTCAACAAGAAAGTAAGTACTTTGTTGCCCGCGGACGAAGAAACAATGTTGCGACGAAAGCGTGATTTTGCTGGGTTCGGTTTTAATTTTAGTGTTGCGGCTTTCGTGTTTTTGCATCATTTGCATAATTACTGCGGGAGATGGAGTGCGAGATTTTCTGAAGGTTTGTGCGGATTTTTATTGGGTTTGGTTGTTGCAGAACGTGGTTTTGGAGGATAGTGATAAGAGCGACGTGTTGAGGTCGAAGAGGGGGTATGATAAGCAGTATTCGTTCGATGTGGTGTTCGGGGAAGAGTCCACCCAGGAGGAGGTGTACGAGATCACGACGAGCAGTCTGGTGAAGGATGTGCTTAATGGGTGAGTTTGGTTTATTTATGGCGGGTGACGTCGGAAGTCAAGGTCTGGCGAAACACAGACATTGAAATTTTCTTGGCGTGTGTGATTTAGATAAGATTCAAGGTCGGCTGCAGCCGAAGTTTTAGTTGTGTGCGTGATTTGCCTTGAAATTTGTTTCTTGACCCGAGACAATGAAGTGGTCGTGATAAGAATACATATGTACAATGTAACACTAATTACGCCCAAATAAGTTACAGTTTTTTTTGGGACAAACTATATAATCATTTTGGATTTGTAATTGGCGGAATTAGTGGAACCCATTTTAATCATTTTTTTTGAAAAATTTGAAAAATTTTTACTCACTTTTCACGTTTATTTGAATAGATGTGAGGAATTTCGGATTCGTAATAAATCACAAAATTCCAATTTTTTGATATCACAATTTTTTCTTTTTCCTTTTACTTCAATTTTTGGATTTTTTAAGATCTCGCTTTCATAATTTTTCGTTTTTTCAGCTTTATTTTTTATTGTTTAATTTTGCAATTTTTGGGTATTATAATTTTGAATTCTTTGATTTTTCAGTTTTTCAATTTTTGATTTTTCGATTTTTGGTTTCCTCAAATTCTTGTTCATGTTCCCAATTTTTTAATTTTCATTTTCTCGATTTTACATCACAATTTTTAAATTTTTCATTTACTTAATTTTTTTCAATGTTTCTTTGGATTTTATAAATTTTCAAATTTTCAACCTCCTTTCAATTCCTTGATTTTCTAATTTTTAACTTTTTCAATTTTCGGATTTCTTTAATTTTTAATATTACGATTTTAGAAAAACTTCGTTTTTCGATTTTTAACTTTCTGTCTCAATTTTTAATCTTACGATTTTTGAATTTGTCGTTTCTTCAATTTTTACAAGTTTTTGATTTTCAGTTTTAAAATTTTTCAAAGTATAGAATTTATACTTTTACGTTTTTTCATTTTTTGAGTGTTAATTTTACACATAAGATTTTGAAAAATTAAAAATCAAAAAATTAAAAATCGAAAAATCGGATAAATGAAGAAATTTTAAAACCCAATAAACAAAAAATATTTAAAAAATTTACTCTTAGCACTTTTTCTCCTTTTTTTAACAGCCTACGTCCTATTAGTTCATTAAAGAATCGTTTTCACTCTACAAAAGAACAAAAAATTGACCCCACTCACCCACATCTCCTCCATTTCATTTAATTCATTTTTATCTAGTTGGAATAAATGTTATACTGAACAGAAATGAAATCGTTAGATTGAGAACAGAGCGGAAGGGAGGGGTTAGTACTTTCTAAGATAAGATGATTTTGGCAAATCACCTACGCTCTAAGAAAATAGGGGGCGGGTGGGCGGGACTAATATTTGCTAAGATAAGACTTAATTTAGCAAACGACATAGCCTCTAAGAAAATAGAGTTAAGAATAGTCAATGGAATGATGAAGGGTGGGCGGGGCTAATGCTTGATCATAATAGTCCCGCCCACCTTCTTTCTCCATTTCGTTTCTTCAATTTTGGATTTCCATTTTTTTTTAGTATATGTTAAAATAAGACTGATTTTGGTAAATGACTAAACAATATTAAGTGTAGTCATTGGAATGAAGAGGGGGTGGGTGGGAGGGGCTATTGCTTGCTTATAAAAGACTGTAAGAAAACGTCAAACTTAGCCCCGCCCACCGACCCGTTCTCTCATCAGCCTCCGTTCTATTAGTTCCCATTTCTACTCCATAAAGGAACATATAATTATCCCCGCCCACCCACCCCGTCTCTATTTCAGTAATTCATTTTATCTAGTCAGAACGAAAGGTGGAACTTATACTGAACAGATATAAATTCCTAAATTCCTAAGAACTAGAGCAGGGCGGGTGGATGGGGTTAGTACTTTTCAAGGTAAGCCTGATTTTGGTAAATTACATACCCTCTGAAAAAAATAAGGGTGGGAGGGCGAGGCTAGTACTAGCTAAGATAAGATTGATTACGGCAAATGACCTACCCTCTAAGAACATAGAGGGCGGGTGGGTGGGGCTAATATTTGCTAAGATAAACAAATTTTGGCAAGTACATACTCTCTACAAAAATGGAAGACATGAAAAATTGAAAAATGGAGAAACTGAACTGAAAATCTGAAATTGAAAAATCGAAAAATTAAAAAAATTTAAGTCGGAAAACCAAAAAAGTGAAACACTAAAAATTGCAATTCGAAAAAATTTCAAAATTCGAAAAATTGAAAAAAGAAAAATTATAAAATTAGAACATCGAAAAACCGAATGTTGAAAAAATTACGAAAATCAAAGACTGAAACGAAAAAACATTTTCACCATTTTTTTTTTTGAAAAAATTTTGAAAAATTATTATCTCACTTTTCACGTTTATTTGAATAGATGTGACGAATTTCGGATTCACACAATTTTTCAGTATTATAATTTTTAATTCTTTGATTTTTCAGTTTTTCAATGTTTGATTTTTCGATTTTTCGTTTCCTCAGATTATAAGCTCTTGTTCATGTTCCCAATTTTTAATTTTCATTTTCTCGATTTTATATCACAATTTTAAAATTTTTCGTTTACTTAATTTTTTTCAATGCCTCTTTCGATTTTATAATTTTTCAAATTTCCAACCTCCTTTCAATTCCTTGATTTTCCAATTTTTCAATTTTCGGATTTCTTTATTTTTTAATATCCCGATTTTAGAAAAACTTCGTTTTTTCGATTTTTAACTTTCTGTCTCAATTTTTAATCTTACGATTTTTGAATTTGTCGTTTCTTCAATTTTTACAAGTTCTTGATTTTCGGTTTTAAAATTTTTCAAAGTTTATAATTTATACTTTTTGGTTTTTTTAATTTTTGAGTTTTAATTTTACACATAAGATTTTGAAAAATTAAAAATCAAAAAATTAAAAATCGAAAAATCGGATAAATGAAGAAATTTTAAAACCCAATAAACAAAAAATTTTAAAAAAATTTGCCCTTAGCACTTTTTCTCCTTTTTTTAACAGCCTACGTCCTATTAGTTCATTAAAGATTCATTTTCACTCTACAAAAGAACAAAAAATTGACCCCACCCACCCACCTCTACTCCATTTCATTTAATTCATTTTTATCTAGTTGGAATAAATGTTATATTGAACAGAAATTAAATCGTTAGATTGAGAACAGCGCGGAAGGGCGGGGTTAGTACTTTCTAAGATAAGATGATTTTGGCAAATCACCTACGCTCTAAGAAAATAGGGGGCGGTTGGGCGGGGCTAATATTTGCTAAGATAAGACTTAATTTGGCAAACGACATAGCTTCTAAGAAAATAGAGTTAAGAATAGTCAATGAAGGGTGGGCGGGGCTAATGCTTGATCATAATAGCCCCGCCCATTTTCTTTCTCCATTTCGTTTCTTCAATTTTTGATTTGCATTTTTTCTAGTATCTGTTAAAATAAGACTGATTTTGGTAAATGACTAAACAATATTAAGTGTAGTCACTGGAATGAAGAGGGGGTGGGTGGGAGGGGCTATTGCTTGCTTATAAAAGACTGTAAGAAAACGTCAAACTTAGCCCCGCCCACCCACCCGTTCTCTCATCAGCCTCCGTTCTCTTAGTTCCCATTTCTACTCCATAAAGGAACATATAATTATCCCCGCCCACCCACCCCGTCTCTATTTCAGTAATTCATTTTATCTAGTCAGAATGAAAGGTGGAACTTACACTGAACAGATATAAATTCCTAAATTCCTAAGAACGAGAGCAGGGCGGGTGGATGGGGTTAGTACTTTTCAAGGTAAGACTGATTTTGGTAAATTACATACCCTCTGAAAAAAATAAGGGTGGGAGGGCGGGGCTAGTACTAGCTAAGATAAGATTGATTATGGCAAATGACCTACCCTCTAAGAACATAGAGGGCGGGTGGGTGGGGCTAATATTTGCTAAGATAAACAAATTTTGGCAAGTACATACTCTCTACAAAAATGGAAGACATGAAAAATTGAAAAATGGAGAAACTGAACTGAAAATCTGAAATTGAAAAATCGAAAAATTTAAAAAATTTAAGTTGGAAAACCAAAAAAGTGAAACACTAAAAATTGCAATTCGAAAAAATTTCAAAATTCGAAAAATTGAAAAAAGAAAAATTATAAAATTAGAACATCGAAAAACCGAATGTTGAAAAAATTACGAAAATGAAAGACTGAAACGAAAAAACATTTTAACCATTTTTTTTTTTGAAAAAATTTTGAAAAATTATTATCTCACTTTTCACGTTTATTTAAATAGATGTGACGAATTTCGGATTCACACAATTTTTCGGTATTATAATTTTTAATTCTTTGATTTTTCAGTTTTTCAATTTTTGATTTTTCGATTTTTCGTTTCCTCAGATTATAAGTTCTTGTTCATGTTCCCAATTTTTTAATTTTCATTTTCTCGATTTTATATCACAATTTTTAAATTTTTCATTTACTTAATTGTTTGCAATGTTTCTTTCGATTTTATAATTTTTCAAATTTCCAACCTCCTTTCAATTCCTTGATTTTCCAATTTTTCAATTTTCGGATTTCTTTATTTTTTTAATATCCCGATTTTAGAAAAACTTCGTTTTTTCGATTTTTAACTTTCTGTCTCAATTTTTAATCTTACGATTTTTGAATTTGTCGTTTCTTCAATTTTTACAAGTTCTTGATTTTCAGTTTTAAAATTTTTCAAAGTTTAGAATTTATACTTTTTCGTTTTTTTCCATTTTTGGGTTTTAATTTTACACATAAAATTTTGAAAAATTAAAAATCAAAAAATTAAAAATCGAAAAACAGAATTAACGAAAAAATTTTAAAATCCAACAAACAAAAAATATTTCAAAAATTTACTCTTAGCACTTTTAATTAATTTTAGTTTGGGGACTTTTCAGTTTACTCCTATTTATTAGTCAAATTTTGGATTTTACAATTTCTCAATTTTTCAATTTCTCGGTTTTCAGTTTTTCTCTTCAATTTTACGACTTTTAAATATTTCGATTTTTC